CTATTACATTATATATGTGTTACAAACTCAATACGTTTCGTTCAGTTTAAAGGCTAGCTTGAGCTGTATATTATCTATTACATTATATATATGTGTTACAAACTCAATACGTTTCGTTCAGTTTAAAGGATAGCTTGAGCTGTATATTATCTATTACATTATATATATGTGTTACAAACTCAATACGTTTCGTTCAGTTTAAAGGCTAGCTTAAGCTGTATATTATCTATTACATTATATATGTGTTACTAACTCAATACGTTTCGTTCAGTTTAAAGGCTAGCTTAAGCTGTATATTATCTATTACATTATATATGTGTTACTAACTCAATACGTTTCGTTCAGTTTAAAGGATAGCTTGAGCTGTGTATTATCTATTACATTATATATGTGTTACAAACTCAATACGTTTCGTTCAGTTTAAAGGATAACTTGAGCTGTATATTATCTATTACATTATGTATGTGTTACTAACTCAATATGTTTCGTTCAGTTTAAAGGCTAGCTTAAATATTGAGTTAGTAACACATACATAATGTAATAGATAATATACAGCTTAAGCTAGCCTTTAAACTGAACGAAACATATTGAGTTAGTATCACATATATAATGTAATAGATAATATACAGCTTAAGCTAGCCTTTAAACTGAACGAAATATATTGAGTTAGTAACACATATATAATGTAATAGATAATATACAGCTTAAGCTAGCCTTTAAACTGAACGAAACTTACTAACTCAATACGTTTCGTTCAGTTTAAAGGCTTGCTTAAGCTGTATATTATCTATTACATTATGTACTTGTTACTAACTCAATATGTTTCGTTCAGTTTCAAGGCTAGCAAGCTACAGTAAGTCTGTGACAAATGTTCTGCAGATTTTGGGCTGCTCTGTTACCAAGAGTGATGCTCAGTCTTAAAAACAATTTTTTTTTTTGAAACAACGATTATTTTATACACAATTCTATAAAAATTAGATTGTTTCCAGTCTCCAAATTACTAAAATAATAACTTACTGTACAAGGTTAAAAAGTGGTGAAAAAACCGATGAGACTGGAAAACAATCTCATTTTTATTGAATTGTGTATAAAATAATCGTTGTTTTTTAAAAAAATTTTAGTTTTTAAGATTGAACATTACACGCGCGCCAAAAATATTTTGCAAAAAAAAATGGAAGTTGTTGTTTGATTTGTTCTAAATAATGATATCGTTTGTTTTGCTGGTCTTGTAAATGGCCAACATAGCTATACTGAAACTAACATTTTATTCTTAAATCACCCCATCAGCTACAGTTATCTGTGTAGTGACTATAATATCCACAAATGTCGCTTTAGTAATGGTGTTGAATCTGTTTACGTGTGTATAAGTAGTAGATTTCTTGATAAAAGAACCTAAACCTTCAGCAATGAAAGTCACATTTTTTTACGCTATCACATTACACCTATACGGTTTTTATCACAAGCCGTCAGATAAGTTTTAAAATACTCAATCTGACCTAAACCAAGGGGTCAAATAGACTTGGAAGTAATGAAGCAAGGATAAACATGGAATTCAGATATAATTTGCCCAATATCGTGCAGTATTTGTATCATCCTCTAGTGAACGATGTAAAAGTATGTCAGTAAGTTCAGGGTTATAAGATATAAATAACACACGATATAAGAAAAAATATTTGGAAAAAAAAATGTTAGTTTCACTAACCGCAGTTGGAGTTGAACTATTTTTTTTTCTCAGTAGTTTAATTTGTCTTTCAGGCTTTACTCCAAGAGAAGGAGTGTGAACACTATATTCAACTTACTACCAAGATTCTTGCAACGATTTCAGATTTTTGTTACAGGTAAGCCGTGAAAGTAACGCCACTGAATGCGTATCTTGATGATAACCATTGGGTGATTATACAAAATGGACAGTTTAATGGTTATTTTATCAATAATGTGTATAATGCCACTAAATACGTATCTTGATGATAACCATTAGGTGATTATACAAAATGGACAGTTTTTGATAAAATAACCATTGGAATTTGTATAACGCCACTAAATACGTATGTTGATGATAACCGTTAGGTGATTATACGAAATGGACAGTTTAATGGTTACTTTTATCAATAATTTGTATAACGCCACTAAATACGTATCTTGATGATAACCGTTAGGTGATTATACGAAATGGACAGTTTAATGGTTATTTTATCAATAATTTGTATAACGCCACTAAATACGTATGTTGATGATAACCGTTAGGTGATTATACGAAATGGACAGTTTAATGGTTATTTTATCAAGAATTTGTATAACGCCACTAAATACGTATGTTGATGATAACCGTTAGGTGATTATACGAAATGGACAGTTTAATGGTTATTTTATCAAGAATTTGTATAACGCCACTAAATACGTATGTTGATGATAACCGTTAGGTGATTATACGAAATGGAC